CCCTTTCCTGGAAGTTGCTGTTTCACACGAGTCTTTGCCCCAGAAGGATCTGTCACCACTGCTGCAGAACACCCACCCCCCCAGCCTCCCTCCCCAGGGGCAGGGCTCAGCGCCTGCTGGAAGGAGCAAGCACCATCCTGCCTTTCCATGGGCTGCCTCCCATCAAAAGCACCTAAACAGGTGCTGGGTTTGCTTAAGGGGTGGCCACAGATCTGGGGGGACAAAGGGTTTGGACCCTCCTCTGAAATGTCTCACAGCAGTGGGGAGGTTTCAGCCCCTCCCGCGCTGCTGAGCCTGCTGGAAGCAGTGGCAGGAGCAGCTCTTGGCCAGCAGCCTGGCTTCACAACACTCCTGGGGCTCCCTGGGGATTAAAAAATAAACCCAAAGCACGGGGAGGAAGAGGCAGGAGTGAGGAGAAAAAGGGGCTGGGTTGGGGCAGAGCTTGCCCCCCGCCGGGGTCCCCAAGGCCTCTGCTCTGTCCCACACCAAGGGCCAGCAGCTGGCAGGGCTTGGGATGGGTTTGCTCTTCCACCAAGTGATGTCTCAGCAGTTCCTCCTCGCCAGGGAACAGCAAAAGCCCTTTAGCATCCTGCTGTGCCAAGGTAACCAGCTTGGCTTCCCCCCAGCTGCCTGCAGGCAACATCTGGCTGGCATCTGGCAGGGCACCCAGCTGGGCTCGACCCCTTGGGTGGGTGTGTGGGACCCCAAGGGCCCATGAACATGGCACCTACCCGGGGTGCAGGGGAGCTGGGGTGTGTCCTCCTCCTCCTCACTGAGTGGCCACAACAACCAGCCTCAGTTTCCTCCCTGGGGCACGGGCAGCCCTGCTGGCCCGTGTGAAAACCTGCCCTGGGCTGTGAGGCTGAGATGTGCTGGGTGGAAAGGCCCAGTCCCCAGGGAAGCAGCTGCTCCTCCATCCACCCTCCAGGGCTGCCTGGTTTCAATCCTCTCCCGGGGAATTTGGATTCTGTGCTGTGTCATTTGCTGCTGCAAAGCCCAGAGGGGGAAGCACCGTCCTGCCAAGTGTGGGGATCCGGTTTCCCAAGGGCTCTGTGTCCCATTAAATGGGAGAGAAACTGGGCACAAGTGTTTCTGGGCTGCCCAGTTCCTGAAGGACAAGGAGCTACTGGAGAGGGACCAGGGCAGGGCCAGCAAGTGCTGAGGGGACTGGAGCACCTGCCTGTGAGGAAAGGCTGGGAGAGCTGGGGCTGTTCAGCTGGAGAGGAGGAGACTGAGGGGGGATCTCATCAACCCTCCTCAATATCTCCAGGGGTGTCAGCAGGATGGGGCCAGACTCTTCCCAGCAGTGCCCAGTGACAGGACAAGGGGCACTGGGCACAAACTGGAGCGCAGGAGGTTCCAGCTGAACATGAGGAGGAACTTGTTGACTGTGAGGGTGACAGAGCCCTGGGACAGGCTGCCCAGGGAGGTGCTGGAGTCTCCTTCTCTGGAGACATCCCAACCCCTCTGGATGTGTTCCTGTGGGATCTGCTGTGGGGGATCCTGCTCTACAGGGGGGTTGGACTACATGATCTCCAGAGATCCCTTCCAACCCCCACCACTCTGTGACCCTCTGACAAGCCTTGGAACTGCCCTGTATCCCGAGTGAAGTGCACCCAGGGCTCCGTGTCACCTGGACCACACGGGGAGGTGACCCCAGGGCTGGTGCTATGGGGTGAGCAACACTCCAGCACAGCTCAGCACAGCTCAGCTCCTTTTTTTTTTTTTTTGGAGGTGCTTTCCCCTTTTTTTGCTCCTTCTTTTTTCACCTTGTGTCACCTTTTCCAGACCCAGGGGACCACGGCACTGGGGAGGTCATTCATCCTAATTAATATCTTGCAGAGACGTCAGCCCTCCAAGCACACAGCCCTGGGCTGCTGGCAGCAGCCACACTCCTAATTAACTTTCCTAATTAAGAGGCCCCTTCCCATGACCAGATGGTCCCCACAAAGAGGTGAACAAACCCTCAGCTTCTGCCCCGAGCACCCAGGAGGGCAGAAGGGAGCTGCTCTTCGTGTAGGTAAACTGAGGCAGAAGGGAGAAAGCTCAACCCTCCAAAGAAAGGAGGAAGCAAGATGGGTGGGAATGAGTCACCCAGGCCCTGACTTGTCTCCTTGGAAAAGCATTCCTTGGCTGCTCCAAGCCTTGCAGGGATTCAGGTGGGGTTTGGTCCCATCAGCTCAGCCAGCCCTGACACGCCGAGCCCTGCGGTGCCTCACGCTGGCACCAGCCACTCCCTCCCAGATCTGCTCCTGTCCCCAGCCCGTGGCAGCTGGCAGGGTGGAAAAGCAGGAATATTGAAGCCACACTGTGTCCCTCTTCGTCCTTCTTCATCCCATCCCTCCCACTGCATCTGAGGTGGCAGGAATTGTCAGTAGCAGCATCACCCAACACTTCTCTGGGATCATCAGGACCCGTGGCACCTCTCAGCCCATTTTCTCCTTCCAAACACCAGCCTGGAAGACCCAAATGAGCTGCTGGGTGCCTGGTGGTCACCAGAAAAGCCCCTTTCATGGGTTTTTAAGGAATCCCCAACACTCACCCAGCACAAGCCTAGCCTGGTGTCCAGGAGGGTGAGAAGATGATGCCAAATCCATCAGGAGGAGCCTCTGCCAACCACCTATAAGGACCAACAACCACCTTTGCAGCCTTTGCCAAAGCCCTGGGACAGTTTCCTTGGGCTGGGTGAGCAGCTCCCACCCCCCTCAGGCAGCTTCCCAGCTGGACAGCCCGGTCTTGGCATCACTTGGGGTTTGGTTGTTGTTTTTTTTAGGGGTGCTGCTAAAATTAAGTCCAGGGAGTGGGGAACAAACTGCAAATCCATTAAGGAAAAGGGATGGTTTGTTAATTGCTGTCGTTGGGAGATTTGCATACAATTAAGGCAGGACCTATCTGCGTTCGCTTCCGCATTGCTCTCCCGTGAGGAACCTGCCTCTTTTCCTGCTCTGCTCCCAGCCAGGGCTTGATTGCAAAGACATTTGCCTTGGGAAGAGGGTGGGTGAGGGGTTTGGGGGCTACCTGGGGATGGCCCTTCTGCTCCCAGTGCCCTGTCCTCAGCTTCCCCACCCCACATGCTGCTGAAGCTCCAGGGCTGCAGCCCTATAGTGGGGTCCCAGCTCCCCTCCCGAGGTGGAGGGTGTGTGAGATGCTCCAGCAAAGCCTCCCATAAATAGCCTGGTGTTTACATGAGCCTGCTCTCCTCGCTTGGCTTTTCTCACTGTAGAGATCAAACATCACTCAAAGCCAAGTCAGCTCTCCTGGCCCTGCTGCTGGCACAGCCCAGTGCCTGGGGGTGGCACTTTGCCACAGCTCCCAACTGGCCTGCAGATTGCAGACTTGGAAGGAGGCCCATGGGCCACCAGCTGATGGAGGAGCCCAACACCAGGTTTGTGATGGTCCCACAGCTGTTTTCATCCCTGTCTTGGGTTTTTCCATCCCTATCTTGGGATGTGGAGGCTTGGATGGAGGGGAAGGTTGAAGGTCAGTCCCAAGGGCAGATCCAGGTGATGGGACAGCTCTCAAAGAGGCAGGGCAGGAGAGGACAACTCCAGCACCAAGTCCCACCAGAGGAGAGAGAGAGAAAGAAAGGATGGAGAGAGGTGTAGATGGGGTTTGGGAGAGTCCCCTTGCCCCAGATCTGAGGTTGTGCTGTTCAAGGTCCCTGCAGCACTTGGATAAACCAGCCCCACTCTTGGGGGGGGAATTATGCAGGGTGAGCCTTGTGGGTACCTGGGGGGGGCCTGGAGGGCTTGTCTGGGTCAGCTCCACCAGTCAGATCAAGTCCCCAGACCCATTATTGCCTCTGTGCTACCCAACCCGGGGGGGGAGGAAATTTTTGGGGTGCCCATTTCCCCCCAAACTTCTCCCAGGTCCTTAAACAGCATCTGGTCCTGCCCCCCGACTCTGGAGCCACCGTTTCCTCACCTGCCCTCCCTGGGGAGAGGAGAAACCCTGACC